GCACATGTTTGAGGAAACTAGTTACACACCAAAGTTTAATACATATCAGGTTTTAGCAAGGACCGCTGATTACCAATCAAACAGAATCAGCAATCCACACCAGTCAAGGTCTTTTTTTAGACAAAAATAAGCTAAATGGATTATGAACAGGCACCGGGTGAAGTTGCAGCTCATATGACATATCTGGTCTTGCCTACCAATGCCAAATGCAAGTTTAAACAAGCCTCCAAACACAGCCCCTCCCGTAAGCGAATCCCCAAACACCACCTCATACTGAAACTGAAGCCATTTGACTTTTCCAGTAAACTGAAGCCTGAAAAAATACTGTATGGAGAAAAAGAAACAGTTTAGAAGCCAAGAAAGAAGAAGAAAAAGAAAATAAATATTTTTAGAAGAACGACAAATTTTGGCTATGCAAAAAAAAAAAAACTGTTTCTGCCAGAATAACCGATAAACACATTCAGTGGTGATTCTTGCCTTAGCAAACATCATCACTTTTGCTCAAACTTGCAACAATGCAAGCAAACCCCTAAACCCAAGAATTATTTACTTTCAGCATGTAACCAGTCCAGCACTAAACAACAATGCATATCTAGAGACCAGAATATTATAGAGGCATTAGGCATAAAAGCAACCACCCAGAACACTCTAGCATCATGCAGGTGAGGTTTGCATGCAAGAACTCACATTTTCTTGTTTCAGACATGTTTTGGGGGAAAAACAGACTAATTAATAGTAACGTTGAATAGATATTTTCTTACACATTTTTAATCACGGCACTTTAGATGAACAGTTTGCACTGTAAAACTCTGGAACAGACATTAAGACAACCCATCAACTAGTCAATTTCAGGGGAACAAAAGGTGGGTTTCCATATAAAAAGCACATCTAACATGTTTTCAAATAACAAATATCCTTTGTGAACAGGATTCTCAATATTGACTTTATATCAGGTCAGGGAACCATATGTCTAACAGTAAAACAGACCATCACGTGTGTGTTTGCGGTTTTGTTTGAGAGCTCACAATGGTCTTGCTGACAGATCTCTTTAATACTCCACCGGCTGGAACTGCCAGGGGGCAAAGAACAGGAAAACAGATATAGATTTTTTTTTTTTACGAAACAAGGGCTGGAAAACAATACCACCTCACCTAGAAAACCCAGGCTCACTGCCAGCTTATTTCCTTGCATCACCAACATAAAGTCTCGATTGGAAGGAATCTGAGATAACACATGTTTACAGTCTCTGAAAGGTTACTGCATTTCTCACAGATTCATCATATCGCTCATCCAAATATAACAGCCCACGCATGCCCAAACCTCGGCAGCGCGCAGGAATTCAGTGTTTGCATTGGCAGCAACGGTGGGTCTTCCGTGAAGTGTGAAGCTCCAGTGTACGATGGGAATGTTGTTTCAAATGTTTGGACAGTTAAAACACGGTGAAACATAAAAGCTATATGCTACTCACAATTTTTAGTTTAACTAACTACATTCAAGCTACCATTACAAAAAGTGGTTTGTAATGATGCAAAAAAGTTATTAGTATACTGATGAAATTTATGGGGACAATAACTTTACAAAAAAAGCAAAAACAGTGAAGAACTCAAGGTGAATCGAAGCAGCAAATTAAATGGTCATAATAAAAATATTACTCAACCATCTACATCAACAATTCTGTTAATTACAATTACAAGCTGAAATAAAATGAAACTTGAATATTGGATGAAAAACTAAATGAAACTAAACGAAAGCTAGAAATGTTGCCTTGGCAACTAACAGAAATTAGTTTAAGACGAATTTTACTAACTGGAAATACATAAAACTAAAACTGAAATAAAAATAAAATTAAATATAGGCTACATAATATTTAAAAATTAAACAATACCAAATAAAAATAACTAAAGTACAAAACTAAATTATTAAAAATTAAACTAAAATTATAATAAAGACTGAAATGATAAAAATAAAAGCTAAATCAAAATATACTTGGTTATATAGGCCTACTGCATTTTTTTCTGAGCTATGAACAGACACAAATGCCTTTCTTTCCCACCCAGCACATTTACACATGCTGAGAACAATGACAATCTGTCCAGAACAGCGCGCTGTAATGGCTTCCTTCCTCCTATATCGCACAAACCTACACAACTGAATGAGTCTCCCTGATTCATAATAAGACACTTAAACATGAAAAAAAAACATCTTGGAAGAATGTTGCAATTCGAAAACCGACTCGAAACAGACAAAATTACAAACTGTAAATGAGGGTGACCAGTATTGTTATTGTTAATCAAAACTATTAAAAAAAATGTTTTTATTAATTGAAATACATCTGAAATATAACAAAATATAAATATTAGAAAAAAGCTTTAAAAAAATTACATTAAAATTATAAAATAAAGTAGGGTTAAGTTAAAGTACTAAAATTATTCAAACAAAAACTGAAATAAAAATGAAGCTAAATAGGAATACTTAAAATAATACAAATGACAAATGTGCATTACAAAATTACTAAAACTAAAATAAAAACTCAATCTAAAAACAAATGCTAATTCAAAATATTTATAAACACTAATACTAATAGTAATAATAGTATATAAATAATACTATAACAACACTAAGGATGACCAAAATTCTGAGGGTCACCTTATGTGCTAAAAAAACCCACTCAATTCTTTGTGAAACAGAGACTCAACAGATCTTGGATGCTGAGATCTCAGGCATCATATTACTACAGGGACAGTCCACCAGAAAATGAAATCCTGTCATCATTTAGCATGTCTCTTCAAAAACGTAGGACACAGAGATGTTTGGCATAATGACAGTTTCAGTCACCATTCACTTTCCACTTTCAAGAAATGCAAGTAAATGGTGACTTGAGGCTGTCAGTCGATAACATTCTGCCTGAAATCTCAATCTTCCAGAGTAAACAATGAGAGAATATTCAGGTCTCGAGGCCAAGACCACAAGATCAAGACTCCGCTTCTGCTAATTATGGACCGCTGCTTCTGTTTACTTACAGTTCAAAGGACCTCATATGTACAAAATTGTTGTGTAATAACTTACTCGCTGATTCATACAGTCAACATAAGCAACGGTAAAAGGTGTATCATTAGAGGAAATTGTCCTGTAATTGTTGACTAAGAATATATCCTTCTATTGTATGGTCACATTTGCAACAATGCGATCAAAGTATCACATTGGACTAGTTTATAGCATTTAAAAAGTAAGTCTCACTTTACATGAACTAAAAAGTACAATGGTACTGCCATGCGCCATGATATTGGAATACCACGGTATGCGAGTACAGCAATCATTCAGTACCATGATGTTACCATCTGACACCCAGAGCTGGGAAGATTACTTACAAATTGTAATCTGTAACTGATTCCAAATTACATGACAAAAATTGTAGTTAGTAACACAATCCATTACATTACACATTTTAGGTCATACAATCAGACTACTTTTAGATTACTTTTAGATTACTTTTGACCTAAATCGCTTATCACTTATTATTAAATAGGACAATCTTGTGCCATATTGACATAAAAAACAGAGTAAGAAAGTATGTTCCATTTGTTGTTATTAACAACATGAAGTGCATTAAACATGATATTACATCAAGGTTTCCCAAACTGGGGTTTGTAAAGGAACTAAAGGGGGTTTATGAGTTTAACGAAAAGCTAATAATTAATTAAATCATAAAAATGTTACATTAAAATAAATCATTTTAAAATCAATCAAAATAAAATGAAATGTTTTATTTGTTTACCTGCATGTCATGTGACTATAACCAACTCTGAGAACCTATTAACATGCAAATGTGATACTTAATTATTAAACTATTTATTTTAAAATCTCAGGTGTACTTCACGTAAATATATTAGACGAAAGAGGATCAGATGACAAAAAAAGTTTATGAACTTGTGCAAGACAAAAGCCTTCCAAAGACATAGAAATACATGGTTAAATAACCTAAAGAGTGATAATTCAAATAAAAATTAATGTTCATCAGTGATGCAATGCTGAAACACTTCTTAAACCTGAACTGATTTTTGTTAATCCAGTGGTCAAATGCTGTGTAGCCACCTGAACAGTGACTGAACATGTGAATGTCCACAAAACTGAAGACTTTCTGACTGCATTTAAGTGGTCGGCTATTTAAGAAAGGAACATTCAAACGATGAAAAAGAGAAATTAGGGAGAATCAATAAATTATGAATAATTTATTGCTATTGTGTAAATAACATGTAATCAATAAAAAAGTAACTGTAGTCTGATTAGGAGTATTTTAAAATATAATTTAGGCTAATCTAATTACAAGTTCTTAATTTTTGGAATCTGATTACGTAATCCAGATTACATGTAATCAGTTAATACCCTGCTCTGTACTATGGTACACCACAGTATTATTATTATTTTTTTTTTTAGAAATGGTGGAGTGATAATTTGATGGAAATGCTTACAAATAGAACTGTTAATGTTTGTATTTCACATGTAATGGGTAACTTGTACAATGTAAAGCATTCTAGGTTTAAATATAAACTGACAAAGCAAGGCGTCCAAAAATAGTTTACAATAAATAATTTACCAAAACAGCACAGGAACGAAAACAACAACAACAACTACGGAACATATAAAAATATGTACAGCTACACATATATTGGAGTTATAGATATACGCACTAAGAATAAAAAACAGCAAATTTAAACGGATGAATTTCCTTTAATTCACCTCATTTGATTAGAAAAGTAAGAAACAGTAACATTCAAATGTCCCACACGTAATGGCGTTGTCCAGTATTACCACAATTACTCCAAGTTAACTAATCTTATAAATAACGCTACGTTATGAATTTCACCGCGAAACGATGCGTCAATTGGATTTCTATTGTAACTCGATATATTCATAAAACAAAAACACGAACGTCACGAGTCGATACAGATAAACAGGAGACTTTCTGACGTTAAAAAACAAACATGTTCCCAAACTGTTACCTTGATGTTTTAGTAGTCTTATGTCTTCGTAATTACCCGATTATATCCATTAAATGAGCGATCCGTTGTGTTTGGTTTATTAGCAGCACATGGCCTTCCAGACGGGTGTTTAAACTGGGGGAACCGAACCGGATTCCCAGAATCGCTCCCGAATTGGATTTTATCGTCCTACTAACCGTTCATTATGCGACAAACTCTGGCCTTCCTCCAGGGGGCGATTGTCGGCTCAAGGCCGCATCCTCCTCGTTCAAATCTCAGCATGTTTTTGTCTTATTAAAGACATTTGTATGCTAGCGAATATAATCGTTTAAATCTATTAATCCCACCTGACACGTAAATGGAAATTCGCCTACGTAATCCTCGTATAATTATTAAACACAACGCCGTTCCCGCTAATCACAAGCAACTGTGATTAGTTCACCTCGACCAGCGCTGAGAAAAGTAACAGGTACCACGTGACAAGGTTTTCAGCGTGATTCTTTAGCAGCAGTGTGCACAATAATTTATACATGAATAATGATACTGGAAAACTTTAATGGCCACTGAATTGAAAATACACAGTGCAGAGGTAAAACTGGAGAATTATTATTAAGCCCCCTTTATACCTGACCAATCAGAAGCGACTTTCTGTCCGCTAAGCCACGCCCACGTGGCCCACTTTTTTAGTAGTGATGCAGTTGCACCCGCTTCTTATTCTAGGGATTTATTCAACAGGGCTGCTGGACGGAGGGGGATTGGGGATGGGACGGGCCAGGGTGGGAGCGTGGGCGGCTTCGTGACATGGGTGAAGAACCACTGAGCCAACACCAAACAAACACCAAAATTCAGCTGATTCTTTACCCTCTTCTATCTTTTAGACACATCCCTGTGAAACAGTAGCTAATAGGGAAAATAAGCTTTTTGTCCAGTCCCTCTCTCAGGAATACAAAGATTAGGCAACTCTTTCGGAAAGATATAATTACTCTGTAATATCTTATTGGAGAAATTCTTTTGAAGATATTCCTTGGAAGAAAGTGTGGTCCTTACCTAACAAATATCTAATCACTAAAGAGATATCTTTTAAGTTGCTACACCGATTTTACCGTCAGGCTTTATCTTAAAAAATGTTTCCTGAGATGGATCCTCTCCGCTCCTTTTGTGGAGTGGAAGATGAGTCTGACCGTCATCTTTTTTGGGAGTGTGTCCATGCAGTTTCCTTTTGGAAGAAATTTTGTATGCTTCTATCTTAGACAATTTTTCTTTGGTGTTTTGGTGGTTTAAGGCTGTCTTATTTGGTAACAAGAATCTAAAAGACAAGTATTTTCTAATAAATCTATTGATTTTCTTAGCTAATGTAACACAGGTCAGAATTGAGCTGATCAGAAATAATAAATGTAATTTGAAATAATTATATTTTCATTTAAAATACCCAAAAATGGTCCAATTCAGAGTTTCTAATATACTGATAGCATTACCTGTTACACTAAGTTTTTGAGCAAATGCACATTTTTGTCTGTTAAACCTCTATATATAATTTTTTGTAAAGACTTGAAATGTTATTTGGATACTATCTCTAATTCCAGCAATGTCAAAGCCTTAAAATCCTATACATCGTGCACGAAGTATAATATTAATGCTTTTTTATAATGTGCTATTGACTATGAGTTGAATGTATAAGGGAGGCAGGGATTTAGCAAAGTTTTTTTTTTTTTCTTTCATCTCGAATTTAATTTATTTTAAATTCAGAAAAAAAAGCAATAATAATTAAAATGTAAAAAAATAGACAAATAAATTAGATATGTATAATTTGATAAATATTTTTAAAATACTTGCATGAACACTAAATGAAAAGAATCTAAATCCTAAATATGAAATATTAATTTAATTAAATGATTAATAATGTAAACATTATATTTAATATAAATATTAATATTAAATATTAAAGTAAAATCTTGAGATAAACATTCTGAGAATTTAGAGATTGATTTCGATCTAAAGAGCTGTTTTGACTGAAGAGTGTATTCATTGATTATGTTTTGATTAACTGATTATGATTTGATTATATTGACTAATAAGATTATTTTATGGCATCAGAGAATGTTTTTAAAGGATTGCTGTCAAAACATTTGCTTTTAAAAGCATTTGAAGCATTTCCATCAATGGCCTGTAGATGGAAGTCTGTGCTTAGCCTATATAAAGGATGCATAGTTTTCTTAAAGGAGACATATTATGCCCCTTTTTACAATATGTAATATAAGTCTCTGGTGTCCCCAGAATGTGTCTGTGAAGTTTCAGCTCAGAATACTCCACAGATCATTTATTATATCATTTTGAAAAT